TTTTTTCAGCAGAAAGGGAACATGAAAAATACCAACATTTGGAAGGTCTGTTGTGCTTCCAATGACGTCGTGACTGTGAAAACCACACACTGAGTTTGGTCCTTCTGTGTCCAGGTGTAGAGCTCTTCAGTACACCAGGTACTTGAGCTCAGAGTAGATGAGTGGAAACATGACCGTGCAGGCTCGGTACAGGATGGCTCCACTCTTGAATAAAGCTCGAGGTTTGGTGCACCAAGACTCTGACTTGAAGCTGACGTAGATCGCGTACAGTGCCACGGCAAAGAAGTGTCCAATAAGGGTCATGGGTTTGGGGGTCCACCTGGTGAAGATCACAATGTCATTAGGTCTTTTGTATTTAATCTTGTATTTAAAGGAATAGTTTTGACATTTTGGGAAATACAAGATCGACACCACTCATGTCTGTACGATGAATATGTAGCCAGCCAGCGACCGACTAGCTTAGCTTAGCACCAACACGAGCTCCCTGGTCCTAGCTAAGAAATTGTTCAGCACATATTCCCCCGTAAAACTACACGTGTCATTTTAACACAGTTAACAAACGAGATACAGCACAATTAGTGAGCTTTAGCTTCATGCTAGCTTTAGCTTTAGCATAGCATGCTTGGAGTCTTGACGTCAATGGGAGGTTGCAAATGGAAGAGAAATAACGTGTGAGCTTCTGGTGTGCTGGTAGGTGGATTTTGGACATTTCCATTTCTAATGCTAGGCTAAGCTAGCCGTCTCTAGTTTTACATTAAAGATACAGACGTACGAGTGCGGTATCAATCTTTTCATCTAACTCTCAACAAGTAAGCAAAGCAAAAAGCTTATTTCCCAAAATCGCAAACTATTCCCTTAACCCAAGACTACATTCCATCATGCCATGTTAGAAAGATTCTGTCTATCCTTTTATTGTGGAGGACATTATTTATTGCTTACACTGAGAGGAGTCCAATAGGCCCATTAATGCATTCTCCACCAAGCTTGAAGTACTGGAAGCAGGCTTTTCTCAGCTCTTGAAGAGAATCTGGTTAACACAAGGCACAGACAAATGATGAGAATTAAAATGACCATTAAGTGATGTTTAAAATAATTGCAGATTTTTACTTTTTAAATGGCAAAATAATAATCATTTCTAGTCCACTGTCATTGCTTTTAATGATGCAGAGACTCACAGTCTGTGGCTGAAAACAGCTCATACAGGGCTTGGGCCAACACATTCACCACGAAAGAATGTGATGACTTGCGTTCCCAGTGGAATTTTTTCTTTGCCTATTGAGAAGAAGGAAAAAAATAAATCAGTGTAATATTGCAGTCGCTCACCCATAGCAGAGGGAATAACAGGACAAGGCCAATGGGATGTAGTAGAGACTCCAAATATAGCTTCTACTTGCTGTCATACACTTACACGGGCCTTATTGTTTTCATACAGTAGAGTGTTTTTAATAACAGTTTTAATGTGAATGCTTTTACGGTTATTGGGTTGTCAGCATAAAAAAGCTTATGTCTAGTCGCTGTGTTCACCTGCAGCATAGCCCCGTCGTCGTATAGATCCGGGATGTTTTCGAGCAGACTCCTCCAGATGCGCACGTCATTGAGAGCAACACTCATCCCTCCTCCCGTCAGAGGGTGC